ACGAGTTCCACTGGTGGTCAGACCAATCGGCTAGACGCTCAGTAAAGGGCAGTGAGCCTAGCAGAGCATGACCGTAGATTACTCCATTATCACTACTACCTGTATAAAGGGGCTTCAGTCGGCCCTCAGCCAAGAGCTCATCACCGAGCCTCCTTACGCTATCCATAGCATACAACAACGCGAGAGCGAGGTATGTTATGTAAATAGATATTTCGGTTTAGACCATGTCAAAGGGGGATCCTTTGGACTATGCTTACGTAAAGATGACATTAGTAGACAATTCTGAGGAGAATAACCATCCTCCGTATTCGACCAGGTGCACTCCGGAGAGAAAGACGTAATACAGCACCCTCCTGACGATGAAGCTGCATCCACTATACGAACTGTGGCTACTGTTTATCTTCGATGCATTTAAGCATCAGGCTCTTGAAAGGTGACCTCCGGGCTGCTGAATCGTTAGAAAGTATGTCTTAGCACAGATGCATCGCTAAGTATTGGGCGACACAGACCTTTGTTATCACATGCCCATCTCGCTGGTTATCAGTAATCTCATAAACGTCGTCAATTTCTACTCGACAACAGCCTCCCACGCTGCATCCTTTGAGTCTGCAGATGAGTAAGTGTCGCCGTCGCTAGCACGTGTGCACACGTGCGGTTCAGCGTGTCACTGGAGAGGCCGGTACGTCATGTATCAGCTCACAGAGATAATGAACCCCTCATTGACCGCCTATCGTAATGCTAGTGGTCGGCTGTACTATACCGAACTGGAAACTGAGCTTACCATCATATGAAATGATCTAATGCGTAGAATCCTGTTATACAATAGCATTGAAGTGTCACATGTCATAGTTCCTCGCTTTAGTCAGTGTTATTGATGAATTGATAAAAAATTAGTATACATTATATGATTCCATTTTATCGTAAACTCAGTAAACATATACACCTTTCAAAGGCCTATTTCGCGTTTAATAATATCAATTCCACAGGGCGAGCAATCATCTAAGCCAAGATATGCCTTAGATCAATCTCGCCAGCGCGCTCGATAGAAAAATCAATTTCGACGACACGTGTCATTAGTACAATCAATTTCGCTGGCATATCTAAAGTAAGCTCAATTTCGAAGAAAGGCGGAAATCGATTTCGCCAGAACTACACCGCGAGATATCTCATCGAGTATGTAGGTAACTACACAGAATATTCTGAATTTCTTCATTTCTCATACCAACGATTTTTGCATTAAACTATATTGAGCTGTGCTATTTTCAAAGTTCTCGAGGGGCTCGTATATATACCTGAAAGTTGGATATAGGTAACGAGTAACGAGTAAAGGCGAGCCGAGTATATGGATACGTGCTTATAGTATGAGCTCATAGCTCATAGTAGCCGCCCTGACTGGCAGAATCGATCTTACTAAGAGCAGCACAGGTGTAGCTTCCTGTGTGGGAGTCTACTGGAAGATGCTGGTGCACCAATTCGTAGCACACAATGTGTCTCCCTCGGGTGAAGAGATCCCTTGGTTAAGTTTATGAATCATGAACTTAACCAAGGGATTTCTAAATAAATACTAAATAATGATGAATCTATAGAGTATAATAAACCTAAATAATACTTTTCAGCATATACTATGATGTTTCAAGATAGTCTACATCGATGAAGTTCGATCAGACCTTCTCCGGCTATTACATTTAGTGTGGTGTTATCTCAATCAGCAAATCAGTGACAATATGTCGAATCAGGTGGAATGGTCGACCTTCCCATCAGTTGGTTGTACTACGACGGTGATGCTTTCCTCACCAAGGCGTCATCACAGCAACGATGGACAATAAGAAGCTGCGGGATAGTGTAGCAAACGACTTGGTAACTGCGGTAGAGACCTGGATCTATACCACACTACTGGTATCTGAGGTTTATCCACGGTAGATGGATGAATGACCTTATGGATAGACAGTCTCATCTCACCGTTTCAGGATTGTTTTCGAGCGGATATCTATATTTGATGTCGGTGCTGGTCTAGGAGCATTCACTGCATGGAAATGCAAGTGCCGATCACTACAGGACTATGTAGTTTGAGGGGACGTTTAGGGGGGTCCTCCGAACGTACAATATACAGTATAAGATGGCTCCATAAAGAGATATCGCTCGTATGATATAACATCAGTCTTCGTCATACCAACAGGTACATTTAGCATGTAGGGGTCTGCATGAGGCTCTACTACTTAATCGCGTGAAGTCTGTAATTGTGGTTGTGTATGATAATGACCATGATGAGTTCGATGATAGCACACCATTATTGAGGTATAACAACATGCGTTGTAAGGCTACCCTCAGTGGTGGTTATCATACAGATACGTTGTGGAATTCCCGAGCGATATATGTAAGCTTGTTGCTCAGCGTGCAGTTGAAAAGCATGGGAGGAACGCTACGCCCATCGATGCTAGATCCATCATATGCGAGTACCACTAGCCTCTAGGTCGGTTTCGGATATCTCTTTTAAGACCGATTCGAGAGCTATTGCTCACTACTGAGCGACGAGCTGTGACGGGACGTCTCGACAGTGGTGGTAGTACTAGACGTGGATGGAAGCTTATGTTCGAAAGCAAGCCCGTGCTGAATCCTATAGGTGGTTGCAGCAGACCGTGTGGTTCTATCTATTTCGTTATCAGGCGATACGACGAGGAGAGTGGAGCGCGTGCAAGATCGGCCGCTGAAGGTGCCGAGGCTATGGTCAACGGCTACTGACAAGATAAAGATATCGCAGCAGAAGTTCGAGGGAATTGATACCATCAGAAGGTTGGCTAAGTGTTATCGGCTCATGTTAGTTGAGTGCTGCTGCTGTGTAGGACTCCGTTGAGCAGTGCAGCGTTGGTACGTACGAGGAAAGCGGGGTTGGTAGAGATGGATAAAGCCAATCTTAGATTATCATTACGTGAAGATGTTATCGTGAACTCGTATGTAGATGCTCATTTTCAACCTCCCTAGAACATACTCTTCGTGTTCGGTGGTCGAGCTTAGACCCATCTACGTTTCACCATAAAAGTATTATGAAACGTGGTGAACGCGACAAGCTCGTTCATACCCCCTTCGGCAAGGTATTGAGCTTTCCTTGTCGACGTGTATACTTGGGAGTGCAATAGTAGCAGGATGATCGTCAGACACAGCAATCGTGTCTATGCTGACTGGGCTTTCTCCAACTACACTAAGGCGGCTATGGGGTGGAGTTTGTAGCTCTACCACCACCACAGTCGACTCGCCCGTATGTATGGCATGTTGCCAGACATTTCGAGCCTAGGGGCATATATAGCCGATTACTGTGATTGCGAGAAGATTCAACAGCTGCCCTCACAAAGACAACCGAAGAGTCGACTTCATAAAACGGCTAAGTACTCAAGCTGGGTATATGGCGCCGCAAGATAACGCATCGGTAGTACTATCTATAACATAAAACGATGAGATGGCATGTATAAGACTAGAGACAGTTGAGTGGCGCTATTGAGCAGTACCGCACTGAAAGGGAATGTGAGGATGTACGAGTGATGGCAAGCCTGGCATCAGTTTGGAGTTGACCATTGCTGGCCAGTGATCTCTACGCGGCGATCAGACAGTGCAGGTTGTTGTCTTCGACAATGTTCCGGGCGAGCGCGCTGTAGAGTGTGTCGTCGTCTATGTGTCGCTCCGCTGAGCCCCCCAAAATGATTAGACCTAGCTTCTGTGCTAAAGCGGTGTAGTGGGGTGTTTTGGGTATCCTCTCTTGAGAGCCTATGGTGAGTATTATGTCAGCGAGGGGAAGGTTGGATAAGGATTCTTATGGAACAGTTTTGAAATAATATTTTCATAAAAGAAGTCTAAATGTCTACTGCTGCTACTTCATCTGATCCTTATGGAATCACCACTCCAGGGACACATCTTGTCCAGAAGGACAAGGTCTCTCTAGAGGACTTCGTTCTCATCAAGGTCATTGGTAAAGGGAGCTATGGAAAGGTAGAATAGTAATGTTGAACACATTGTAAAGTATGTACCCAGGTGATGCTAGTACGATATAAGAAGGATAATAATGTGTATGCTATGAAGATGCTGAGGAAAGAAAACGTGATGAAACGCAATCAGGTAGGATTCTTGATCATTGAGGAGTGACTCTCGGTGGTCTAGGTTGAGCACACCCGGACAGAGCGTAACGTACTGGAGACCGTATCACACCCTTTTATTGTAAACCTGGTGTATGCGTTCCAGACTCCTAAAAAGCTCTACTTTATATTGGAGTACTGTCCAGTAAGGACAGCACTGTGTATGCATAGTTATCATATCCGTATCATCAGGGCGGCGAGTTGTTCTTTCACCTATCGCGAGCCCAGCGGTTCTCTGAGAATAGATGTCGATTCTACGCCTCGGAGATCTTGTTGGCCATTGAATATCTCCATAAGTATGATATAGTCTATAGGGACCTCAAGTAGGATGCATCTCGTGCCCCGTGTCGGCTCATGTGATTCGTTCAGGCCTGAGAATGTACTACTAGATGCTGATGGCCATGTGAAGCTTACTGACTTCGGCCTTTCTAAGGAAGGTAGTGATGGTATCAGTGTGTAGGTGGCATTTGTGGAAATTTTGAGGAAAAATGAGGAACTTCTCATTGGTTTCTGCACGCTTCTACTCGAAATTCTTATATAAACTTGTATAATTAGCGAGGAAACTCCCGGTTTCGGGTGAGGAAAGCGAACATACATTACAACACTGGGTGGTGTACTTGCTCAAACGATCTGGATGCTGTGAGTATTAAGGTATAATGGACAACTCTTCGGCGAAGTCCATGTGCGGTACTCCTGAGTATCTAGCCCCAGAGATATTGGAGAAGAAGGGTCATGGAAAGGCTGTGGATTGGTAGAGGTATCTTAGGTTCATCGCAGTAAGATACAAAATAGGTACTCTCTTGGTGCGCTGATGTATGAGATGCTCACGGGCTTACCTCCATTCTATACGAGAGATAGGGAGAAGCTGTTCGAGAGGATTAGGTATTATTCATAATAACTACAGTGTGGTGTGGTATGCAGATCGCCTCAGGCACGGCGAGCTGTCTTATCCATCGTATATTTCTCCTATAGCCAAGAACTTATTAGAGCAGCTGTTGTGTCGCGACCCTAATAAACGTCTAGGGTCGGGGCCTGCTGATGCTCAGGACATAAAGAGCCATCCTTTCTTCCAGGGCGTTGACTGGTAGTAATTCTCGTGGATGGTATGCTATGTAATAGAGGATTGCAGGAATGCTATGCTATCGCGTCAAGTGACGCCACCCTTCAAGCCCTCTGTATCCACCCAGACAGATGTTAAGTACTTCGATAGGGAGTTCGTTGATTTACCTGCTATCAACAGTCTGGAGTATTCAGGAGCCCCAGTCGCTGATGTAGGCTTGGCATGTGGTTGTGTTTGGATGTACTGTTGTAGATACACCACTTCGATGGCTTCACGTATCAGCCGTCCAACCTCCCTCGATAGAATCGGCAGGAGATTAAACTCTTCGGTAGTCTTCCAATACGAGAGGATATAGATTGTGCCTATTGCTGATGGTTTAGCATTGTTGGAAATGTCGTCGGAGTATGAAATATCGCTATAATCGAATACTTGTCAGCCGATTTATGGTTTCATCATTTACCTTTACTACTAATAGGACGCCCGGATCATCAGCTGAGCTCACTGTTGAGTTGTATAATATCCATTAAGCCACAAATTTCTCTATAAAGAGGGAGAGCTCGGTCCCTCACGAAAAAAGCTCAGTTCCTACACCATGTATGTAGCTATATGGTATGAAGTTGAGATACTACCTTGATCGCTACCATGGCAACTGCAGCAGTTGACCCTGGCGTGCAGGCCTTGATAGAGGCGTATATCTCGAATGCTGAAGTGCTGTCTAAGTGCACAGGCGTCCATGAGGATCCAGTGGTACGGTCAGATATAGGGGGTTAGGTTTTGGGTTATACTGCCCAGGTATTTGGATCGCGCTTGAGGAGCCTATGCGATGTGGCCTTGCGCCTTGGTACGGCTCCGGGAGTAGCGGAGAATCAACTGCCCGATGGATGGAAGCATTTGGCGGGTGGGGAATGTGAGGCTAGTCTGCTACCCAGTATAGTGCTTGCTCGGGATGCCTTTGAAGATGCTGTTGCTAGAATCGCACGGTATGAACGTGTACTCTACCATTATTGGTATCCTGTGTAATAGGTATGGTCTTTGCCATCTCGATGAGCGTGTGAGGCGGGAGGCTGTGATATCGATAGCTCGAGTTTTGGATAATTCGAAACCATCGGTAATGGGGTTTTTATATGTGTATGGGGTAAAAACTATATTTTATACATTTTCCGACTCCCCTTAGTGTGGCGAATCGAATGGCATATGCCATAAATAACAAGATATTTGGAAAATTTATCTCCTCCAGATGCTACCCGTGTGTGGTGGTCGTAAGCTCTCCCCCGATCAGGTCGCCTGGCTGGGTATGCGGAAACAGCAATACTATAAGCCACCGATACGGCACCCCTGGAATGGTCCTGCTGAGCTTTTGTAGGGGCTACCTCTAGGTCATAGTATTGCATGGTGGTAGTTTCTATCGTGGATGCTTGACGCCCCTTGTACAAGATGCCGCTCCGATGGTCCGCCTAGCCTTGAGGGATAGGATAGTATTACCACATCTTCAGTATTGGCAGCGACAACAACGTAATCTAGGATGTGATAAGGCAGCAGCGAACGGGGTAGTAGTAGTAGTAGCAGTAGTAGTAGTAGTAGTAGTAGTAGTAGTAGTAGTAGTAGTAGTAGTAGTAGTGATAGTAGTAGTAATACTAGTAGTAATAGTAGTAGTAATAGTAGTAGTAATAGTAGTAGTGATTGTAGTAGGAATACTAGTAGTAATAGTAGTAGTAATAGTAGTAGTAATAGTAGTAGTAATAGTAGTAGTAATAGTAGTAGTGATTGTAGTAGTAGTGTTAACTTTGGTGGTAAGGCAGTGTTTGTTCGTATAGGTAATCGAACGATGTAGTGACATGCTGTGTGAGCTGGCGCAGGATACTGAGCTCATAGCTGTTGATGCTGCCCGTATCATCAATGGATAGTGTTTCGCAAACTCAAGAGTTGTGTTATCGAGTCGGTGACTGACGGTCTGAGTAGTTTTTCAGTGGATGGATCGCATAGCGACATATCCGGCAGCTTTAGGGGGGCTCCCTGCCTCAGGTAGTAGGGGGTTAGTGCTGAGAAACAATGCTATAAAGAGAACTCAGGAGGATATATGCCGTATTCTGGGGAGTATGCTAGGCAGAGCCTGGCGTCCTTACTAGCCACGCACACAGTGGTGTTGCTGACAGCGGAGGAACGGGAAACGTAGGTTGGCTGGTTGTTGATGCTGCTGTGTGGGAGTCTTTGTTGTTGAAGTTACCCCAAGCTGTTCCGAGCGGCTGATACGAAGAAGCGTGGAGTGCTTGGCGCTCAGGAGGCAGCACAGTTTTTATCATCATCGAAGTTGCCTCGGAAAACACTTCATGATATATGGTGTTTGGCGGATAGTGATAATAAGGGCAATCTAACTATTGATGAGTACACAATTGTGAGAGTAGGGATATGGGCGATATGGTCCTGTTGTAGGTTTTACCAGGCATGTAGACTAGTAGCGCACGCCCAGAATGGCGCTGGGGAGATGACTGAGGACCTGCTTACAGTGGGGACTACAGAGGACTCCTATGTGGTCTCGATGAGTTCCGACAGGTTCCCCCTGTGAAGTTGCCAGTGTTCGAGGGTGTCCAAACTGAAACTCCTCCTGCCCCTCCTACCTCTACACGGCATTCTACTGATGATGTAGCTGATGAGGTGATTGCTGAGGAGTATGCCAACGGCATAGACCTTAGCAGCCCTGTGTGGAGGATCTCACGTAAGGCTTGCTGGGTGTATAGGGAAGGACTTGCTGTTGAATAGGCAAGCACCTTGAGAAGTATACTGAGGTTTTCAAGGCTATATCTACCTCTGGCTTCGTGTGTGGTGCCGATGCTAGGGATCTCCTTATCAAGAGTAATCTCACTTCTGAGGTGCTCACTACGATATGGGTACTAAACTCAACTGCAGGGAGTATATTCACTGTCGTGGACCTCAGGACCTTGCTGATGCTGGTAGAGATGGCCAGCTATCGTATCCCGAGTTTCTGGTGGCGATGCATTTGGTGACAATGGCCAGAGCTGGTTATTCAATACCACGCTCCCCTACGATCGTAGATTATTCAAACTTCATGGAGTTTCTTCACCCTAGTGATATGCAAAACACTAGTGAAAAACTTATTTTACGACTACCGCATATCACCGCGAATATCGCGTTTTTCACCGAGTTTTACGCCACCTCACGTAAAACGGGTGAAACTTCACTATAGTATTATAAGATGAGGAATAGTGGTGATAATATGGTTATCAACAATGTCTGTTATTTCAATTATTATAATTGGAGTTTCACCCGTTTTACGTGAAGTGGCGTATTACTCTGTGAAAAACGCGATATTCGCCGCACTACGCAGTAGTCATAAAATATGTATTTCATATCATGGGTGAAACTCCATTAGTATCAATTCTTATCCGTAGTATCATATCACTCTTTCTGCAGGTCTACCAGCTGCTCTATCCGCAGTCCTTCGGAACCCTCCCGAAAAGGTGCTAGTAGAAGGCGCTGGTGGTGCAGGGACGGAGGCATCCAACAGCGCGATGGAGCTATCAGCTTCTATTCGTAGTAATGCCCCCTCTACAGAGGAGACTATCAGCGATAGTATGGTCGGAGAGAAAAAATGTAAAAGGGGTGGTATACAGTATTTCTCATAAATTTGGAATATTGTCTAAAAAGTTAATTGCTTGATAATCACGGAGAATTTCGGGTTCGTATGAATACAGTCTGAACTAACTGTGACCGTTTTATGACTATACAAAATCACTTGCGCAGAATCTACCATATTTTATTGGAATTTCGTGAATGTGAATCAGTAGAGTTTCACCGTAGTGATATGAAAAACATATTTCACGACTATTGCAAGGCGCAAATATCGGGATTTTCACGAAGTCACGTAAAACGGGTGAAACTCCAGTGTTGTGCCGTTCAGTGTTGTCACACACAGCGAGTTTACCTAATCTCAAGCCGAATGAAGCGAGCAGTGTCGAAGGTAGTACTCACGGTATACTTCTTGTGTGGAGCTGATGATCTCAGGAGAAGTGCCGCAAACAGCCCCTCAGCTAGCAGTTGGTGATAGTAAAAAGGAAGGGGCCGATCAGGTGGGAGGGCTCTTTGGGGTTAAGTAAAATTCTGGAGCAAAGATCACCATAGGCACCTTCGTTACGGGATACTATACGTGAGCAGCTGTATAAGCAACGAGAACTGAGGCAGAAGCTACGCCAAGCTGGGGCTAGGCTTCAGGAACTACGACACCAGAATAAGGACTTGTCTGATAAGGTTCGTAAAGGGTATAGGGAGCATGGCATTGTAGGGGGGTTGTTCTTCAGAGGACGAAACTAGAGAAGTCGATAGAAGCTTCGGAGAAGGCTATGCTGCTTGTAAAACGATGGCTTGAGGAGGCTCGTAGGGATGTAGATGAGGCTCGTAGATTGGCTGGTGAACATGTTGATGCTGACGGGCAAATAGGTAGGGGCTTTTGTGGGGAGGTGGAGGGGGAAGAGACGAGCTCAGGTGAGGACGATGAGAAGGATATACGCAAGGTGATACAGGATGAGAAGGACCGTTTGGAGGCAGCGGAGGGTAAGGTGAAGGAACTCCAGAAGAGCATTCAAGAGACCTATCGGACTAGGGTAGGGTAGACCTTGTTGTTGCCTTTTTTACATGGTGTTGTTATCAGAGAGCTCTAGAGAAGAGGAATCAAATATGGGCTGAGAGGCAGAGGCAGGCAGAGCAGGACAGGACGATGGTCATTACTGCATTGGAGATGCAGAAAGCTAAACTGGTGCGGTATGAGGGTGTACATGTGATGAGCTCATAGGGCTATCACATCACATTTTCTGGAAATTCAATATCTTCGTTGAAACTAAATCGAACTCAGCGATGTTCACAGCGTTCGTCCTTACCATTATTTCTACAGTTTTCAGGTAGCCGTACGGGCTGAGAGGTTGAAGACATGTGAAGGTCGATATCATGTACTGAGGGATGCATGATCTTTTAGAATGTATTCCGTATTAGGCTACCCGGAATGCGACACTCACCAGTGTCGAGGAGTGGCAGCGGAGTGCTGGTACAGCTCCACGACTACCAGCATCGCTCTACTCGCATGGTGATACATTAGGATATGAGTTCTGATGAGGTCTTGTCCTGTAGGTCCTCCTCCAGCTGTGGGGGAATCTGATCGTAGTAAAGGTATACCTACGGAAACCTACTTGGATAGGAGCACCACCTACTACCACTGATATTCACAGTCTTGTTAGAATTCTGGATACTTATAACTTTTGTCAAGTCCAATAACAATCCTTATTAGTGTTTTGTTATATCTGTTTTTGAAGTCCCGCTGCTATTCGACTAGCTCTTGTACCATATTGCCCTCTGTTCCTCCTGATGCCACCTAGAAGGGGCATCGCTATCGGCCAGTCCACCAAGTCGGCGGCATCACTCGTATCTAGCCGTAGTAGTAGTCGTAGCCGCAGTGGCAGTCCTCGCCGGCAACGATCAAGGAGTAGAACCCCAGATGAAAGGTCGCCTCGGTAGGGATGATGCCTTTTATTGTTTCGACATTTCGCGTTCATTAGGTCCCCGTCTGTTGCATCAGAGAAGAGTGTGTCGTCGTCCTCCTCGTCGTGTAGTTCAGCCCTGCTGAGCCCTAGGTCAGTGGTCAGCAGTAGTAGTGTCGAAAGTGTACACAGTACTACGTCATCAGTACAGGACGATGATCAAGGAAGAGGGTAGGGGTGCAAGTAGTAGTTCATGTTGGTGTGGTAGGATGCATTATAGGTCCAGAAAGCGGCAAAAACGAGATACTTCCGATGCAACTCGATGGGAGGCTATGAA